TCAAATCTGTAAACCATTTGGGGAAGTATTGCTATCATAATCATGTTAAGTCTTCCAATTCACAAACATGAATATTTTCCATTTATTTAGGTAATTTTTAATTTCTTCCAATAATATTTTGTAGTTTTCAGCGTACAAATCTTGAGTTCCTTTTGTTAAATTAATTCCCAAGTATTTTATTCTTTTTTAAAGATTAAATTAAAGATTTTATTTATTTATTTGACAGAGAGAAAAAGAGCACAAGAAGGGAGAGTGGCAGGCAGAGGGAGAGGGAGAAGTTGGCTCCCCGCTGAGCAGAGAGCCTGATGTGGGGCCTTTTTTTTTTTTTTTTTTTTTTTTTTTTACGGACTTCAGGCGAACATTTATTAAGAACCGTCGCACTCAGCTACAATAAATTCCCCTTTATAAAACTTTCCCTAGTAGTAAAAATAACCCGACCCGGCCTCCTCTGGCAGCCCCTGAGCCGGGGCTGAGGCTGGGCTTGCCGGCCCTGCCCCGATGGCCGCCAGCTGAGCCCCTCACCTCAGTGGACAACAACAGCTGGGGGGTGGGGGGAAGCTCGGTTTAGGGCTCCACACGTGAGCCCCCGCACCCCACCCCCCACAGCCACGTGGGCGGGTTACTCCTGCCCTCCCCATGGGCCACCAGGGGGCCACGTCATTCCGCTCCAGGTGCAGACCCTGGTATCATCACCTGAGCCAAAGGCAGATGCTTAACTGACTGAGCCACCCAGATGCCCCTTGAGTACTTTTTTTTTCATGAAAAGGTTTTAGATTTTGTCAAGTGCTTTTCTTTTTCTGCATTAATTGATCTTGAATTTTCTTTCCTTCCTTATGTTAATATAGTGTATTGATTGATTTTTGTAATGTTGAATCACCCTTGCATTCCTGGAGTAAATCATACTTGGTTGTGATGTATCATCTTCTTAAAATGCTGCTTGATTCGATTGGTTAATGTTTTCTTGAGGATTTTTGCATCTATATTCATAAGGGATATTGGTCTATAGTTCTCTTATAATATCTTGTATGGTTTTGTTATCAGAGTAATTCTGACTTCTTAGAGTTAGGAAGTATTTCCTCTTCTATTTTTGGAAGAGCTTGAGATGGATTAGTCTTAATACTTTAGATGTTGGTAATATTTATCAGTGAAGCAGGAGCATTTAAAAGCTCTGTTCACCCATGTATCTCCTTTCCCAACAGCTTCCTTTCCAACAGCTTTTCAGTTGCTTGTCTTGACTGTTATCCCTAGTTCCAGGCTGCTGTGGCCCAGCGCCTTTGCCTTTATTTTATTTTATTAAAGATTTTATTCATTTATTCATGAGAGACACAGAGAAAGAGAGAGGCAGAGACACAGGCAGAAGCAGGCTGCATGCAGAAAGCCCAATGTGGGATTCGATCCTGGGACTCTGGGATCATGCCCTGAGCCAAAGGCAGCCACCGCTGAGCCACCCATTTGCCACCCAGGAAACTGCTGTAGCCCAGGTCATATCACCACATATTGGGAAAAACAAAGGCAACCCTTTGCAACAGTCCTTAAAGGAGCCATCAGACATGTTAAAGCAGTTGCAGTTCTTTGAGAATAAGGTCTGTATTGCTTTCTGTGTGTCATTAGCAACCTGCACCAAGAATTTAGGCTTCTCTGTCTTCATGACCACTGCTGATCTGAGAAGTTTGGGATTGTAGATGAGCAGTTTAAAATGTCTCAGTGCTTGCTTATCACAATGCAGCAGCTTCTTTCTTGACCAATCTTTCATCAGTCTTACAGGTTTTTGACTAGATTAGAGAGTTCTACCAGAGTTGATTTGACAATTTTTGGCAGCTTATTAGTTGTTTTTGTGGAGAGATAGAGCTCTGAAATTCTCTACTCCACTTTTGGTAACATTATTTCCATACTATTTTTTACAACTTTTTATAAATCTATGAGTATTTCAAAATAAGAAGTTTAATTCTCTGACCTTCTATGGGAACATGCCATTATAAATTCATAGAAAAATAGTCTTAGTGGTTGTTTGCAGACATTAGTTATAGAAAGTATTTTCTGTATATCTCCTTAATAATTTGGTTTAGAATATGACAACAGAGGAATTGAAAGAAAGAGATAGCGATTACTACCCTGATTTGAAGATTTCTAAATTTTAGTGTAATATTTTCTTGAGTCCCTAGTTTTTATCATATTCACCTCTCATCTTGGTGAGATCAGTTTTCTTTGTATTAATTTATGTGTCACCTGGATGACACCCTTTTGTGGATGTTGAGGTAAGTATGATATGGTAGAGTGGAATTTGAAGGATATTTTATGAATATCTTCTATATTGAAAGGAGGGTATAGATATGAATAGCAAGTAAGGCAGATACAATTAGGATTTTTTTTAAAGATTTTATTTATTTATTCATGAGAGACACACAGAGAGAGGCAGAGACACAGGCAGAGAGAGAGGCAGCCTCCATGCAGGGAGCCTGATGTAGGACTCGATCCCAGGACTCCAGGACCACGCTCTGGGCGGAAGGCAGGCAGTAAACTGCTGAGCCATCCAGGGATTCCCCCCAATTAGGATTTAATTAGAACCCAGCTTGGGACACTTGATTGGCAGCAAGTTGAGTGGAGGACTCTTGGTTTTGGCTCAGGTCGTGATCTCAGGGTCATGAGATCAAGTCCCATTCTGTGCTGAGCACAGAGTCTATTTAACAATCTCTCTCTCTCTTCTTTTGCCCCTCCCACCCCCCAACATGCTCAAATAAATAAATAAATAAATAAATAAATAAATAAATAAGTCTGTCTTTAAAAAATAACCCAGCTTGGGTGCCTGGGTGGCTCAGTCGGTTGAGCGCCTGCCTTCAACTCGGGTCATGATCCTGGAGTTCTGGGATCAAGTCCTGCAACAGGCTCCCTGCTCAACAGGAGTCTGCTTCTTCCTCTACCTCACCCCATTCATGCTCGCTCTTTCTCATTATCTCTGTGTCTCTCAAATAGATAGATACAATCTTAAAAAAAATGAACCCAGCTTAATTACTTTTCATTAGTAATTATTAACTTTTTTAAAAATTGATTCTCTTCTCCCTTAACACTGTCACCTCTTTGTAGAGAATAGAGTAAAAATCTGTATTTATTCACTTTGGAATTAGCTTTCAAATTCTTGGTTCAGGTTGGAGTCAAGGAATCTGAGCAATTTTGAAAACTTGTTGAACTTGCCTAACCAATATGTGTCAGCTTTATTATATTGACATTAAGTATAATATATGTATAAAATATGATAGATTGGTTTTTAAAAAGAGCTTGCAATGTATGTAAATAGGGGCTATTTATTAACTGAAGAGATCTTTCTGGAATATATCCTATCTGATAGGTACTGGATTAGGTGCTGAGAATAGAATGTGGGCAAAACCAGATTTAGTTCCTGCTTTTAAACGCACAGTACAATATCTACTTGGTATATTATTCCCCTATGTTGTAAAAACAGACTGCCTGTTAAATCTCTACAGCAACAGTTTGTTTCTTGCCTAGTGATTGTTGATTAGTTGTTGCTTTGTCTATATGTCTCTCCTTCCAGGATCAAAGAGCCGCCTTTATCTGGGACATTTGGGTCTCCCATCACTGTCTGCACTCTAGCCACATGGATTTTTTTCTTTTCCTTGAAAAACCCAATCATTCTTTCTCCAGGGCCTTTTCCTATAAAATTCAGCTTACCTGGTACACCATACACCATATCACACGTTCTCATCGGGTCCTTTTAAACTCATACTTAGTTAAAGCTCAGCCAAAGTGTCAGTTACTTAGGGAAATTTTTACTGACACCTAAGTCTGTGTCAGCCTACAGTAATTCAGAGTGATTAGCCAGTAATAATTGATTACTAGAACAAAAGTCAATACTCTTTAGAAGATTATAACAGAAACCAGAATCTCTGTTACTTATCATCCATAATGTCCAGTATATGATCAAAGTTCATAGTCATTCAAAAAAGAAGGAAAATGACACTCAAGCAAAATGAAGTCAATAGATATCAACTCTAAGATTATTAGAAAACTAGACTTAGCAGAGAAAGGTTTTATTTATTTATTTTTATTTTATTTTTTTAAAGATTTTATTTATAAGAGATGCAGAGAGAGAGAGAGAGAGGCAGAAACACAGGCAGAGGGAGAAGCAGGCTCCACGCAGAGAGCCTGACGTGGGACTCAATCCAGGGTCTTCAGGATCACGCCCTTGGCTGCAGGGGGCGCTAAACCGCTGTGCCACCAGGGCTGCCCCAGAGAAAGGTTTTAAAACAGCCAGTATAGGGGTGCCTGAGTGGCTCAGTCAGCTAAGCATCTGCCTTCATTCAGCTCAGGTCATGATCTTGGGGTCCTGGAATTGAGCCTTGCATCAGGCTCTCTACTCAGTGGGGAATCTGCTTCTCCCCTTCCCTCTGCCTCCTCCACTCTGCTCATACTCTGTCTCTGTCTATCAAATAAATAAATAAAATCTTAAAAAAATAAAGCAACTATTATAAATATGCTCAAAAATTAAAATAATATTTAAAGAGTTAAAGGAAATGCATTAATAGATAGGGAATATCAGGAAAAAAAAGGAAAGTGTAATAAGAAAGTGAAATGCAAATCCTAGGTCTGAGGAATAAATAAATGAAAATTTTCTTGTATGGATGGATATGAGGGTGATCTGGTTGTGACATCTGTCACCCCATTGATCACTAGGCTTGATTTGGCTGATCTGTCTGGCTAGGCCATCCTCTTCCTCCCTCACTGCTCCATGTGCATCTCTCACAAAGCTGTGTGCTGTATTGAAGAGGGTGACCATCCCAGATAGGAGAGGACCATTCTTCTGTCAAAGGTATACAGGTAGCTGTGCTCCCCTGCTAGAACCTCCAAATAAGCTCTCAAGGTCTATTTGTAGAACATAGGGTAGTCAAGTTTCCAAGACTCCAGACACATCCAAATGAGGTGCTGCCTGTGGCAGTCTGCATTTCTTAAAAAAAGAAAAAAAAAGAAATTTTTCTTTCTTTCTACAGGAAAAATTTCCTGTATGAACTTAACAGCTGCCTGTGCAGTCTGCATTTCTTAAAAAAAGAAAAAAGAAAAAAGGAAATTTCTCTTTCTTTCTAAAGGTAAGATTTCCTGTATGAACTTAACAGCAGATTGGAGATAACAGAATAAAGAGGAAATGTCAGTAGAAATTATCCAATCTTAGAAATAAAAAAAAAAAAAGATTGAAAGAAAATGAATAGAGCCTCTAGGATCAGTGGAAAAATGTTAGTTTTGCGTGTGTGTGATTGGAGTCCTGGAAGAGGAGAGTGATGATGATAGGAAGAATTTTTGAAGATATAATGGATGGAATTTTCTCAAATTTGATCAAAAATATTGATAAAAAATATATTGATAAACTACTGATCAAGGAAACTAATATTACTATATGATCTACCAGTTCTATTCATAGATGTTTTACCAAGATGATAAAATGTGCCCACAAGATTTGTATACAAATTGTTCCAGTTACTGTTGCTGCATAACCATCCCAGATTTAGTAGCATAAATAAAGCCGTTTTATCATGCTCTTGGATTCTGTAGTTAAGAATTTGAGAAAAGACAGCTGAAGATGACTTTTCCCTTTCTCCAATGTCTGTGGTCTTAGCTAAGAGTGCTCAAAGGCTAGGGCTGATGGGGGCTGGAATTATCTGAAAACTCACTCTTAAGTCTGCTGGTTGATGCTGACTCTTAGCTAGGACTCAGTAAGATTGTCTGTGGAGAACACCTACAGGTGGCATCACCGTGTTAGTCCTTGGGCATTTTCATAATACAGTGGATAGGTTTCAAGAATGATGGTCCGACAGAGAATCAGGTGGAAACTGTATCACCTTGTATGACCTAGTCATAATACCAAGCTTACTTACATTCAGAAGGAAGTTACATTGATTCCACTTCTTGATGAAAGGTATGTGCAAGTTATCTTGTAAGGAGATTATGTTGTGATCATCTTCAGAAAATACAGTCTATCACATGAATGTTTAAAGCACCTTGATTCATAATAGCCCCAAACTGGAAGTAATCTGTATGCCCATCAACCAGTAAATAGGTAAAATAGGAAAGAACAAGTCAGCATAAGACCAAGCTATAGATACACTCAATGGCATGAATAAATCTCAAAAACATTATGATAAGAAGATGAAGCCAGAAACACATGTACATAATATATGATTCCATTTGTATGTAGAAGCTCTTATGCATGCTGAAGTAATCTATAGCGATAGAAATCAAATCAGTAGTTGCCTGGGTTAGGGGGTTGGAAGGTTGACTGGAAAGGATGGCTACATAGAACTGAACACTTTCAATGTGTACATTTTAGTGTATATAAATTATACCTCAAAGTTGATTTTTAACAATTAAAAAAATATTTAACAATTAAAAAAACTAAGGTCAGGTAGGAATTAGAAATAAGCATACAACTCTTTTGAGGGGTTTTAATGTAAAACAGGAACAGAGAAATATGAAACTAGCTGAAGAGGAAATGAGATTAAGAATTTTTTGGGGGGAGTGAATATTAGAGAGAAATTTAATTAGGGAGAGACAGAGACTTGTTAAAACAATTTTGTTAGGTGGGCAAGAGAGGATGGTTGCAGTTCATTATTCAAAGGATTGGCCTCAGGATTATGGACAATTCATTTGTAATTAACAGAAGGGAAGATAAAGCACAAAGATACAGATGCTTCTAGATAGGTAGACATTTGGGAATTTGTGGAAGTTCTCTTCTGATTGTTCAGTGAAATAGAAATTAAGATTATCAGCTGAGATTAAGAATGGGAAGAAGGTTTTAGAGTTTTGAGCACCAGGTAGAATGAGCGGGGGAAGTGAACAGATTGTGAAGCAACTGCATGATTGGCACGCAGCATTGAGGGCCTGCTTAAAGTTTGTGGTCATAATTTGTAAGTGTTGTTTTAGTTGTTTTTTTCTACCTTGTTAAGCTGCATGGGTACTGAAGTGGACCAGGTGGAGAGTCGGATTTTACCAGGGGTGTATAAACAATTAAGGGCAAAGTAGTTGAGGGAGTACATTAAAAATGATGATTAGAATTGACTAAAGAATTTGAAATGGTGAGGAGAATATTGGGAAGCGACATTAGGTCCTGGAATGGTCAAAAGGTTTTGGGGTCTGCATGGAGGATGTGCTGAAAAGATAGGAGAAGTCAGAGGGGATAATAACAAAGGCTAGGGCAGTGGTTCTCAAAGTATCATATGAGGACCTCTTGAGGGTCCCTAAGAACCTTTCATATAGTCTACAAGCTTAAAACTATTTTCATAATAAAATGGGCTTTTGTCTTTTTTCACTCCCATTAATGAGTATATAGTGTTGCTTTCCAGAGGCTATGTAAATGATGACTAAATGGATATATGCTTATAAGTCTTGTGTTTTAAAAATTTCTTTTTTTTTTTTAAGATTTTATTATTCATTCATGAGAGACACGCACACACAGAGCCAGAGACATAGGTAGAGGGAGAAGCAGGCTTCATGCAGGGAGCCCAATGTGGGACTTGATCCTAGGACTCCAGGATCACACCCTGGGCTGAAGGCAGGTGCTCAACCGCTGAGCCACCCAGGGATCCCTATATATATTGTAAATATCAATAGATATAAACCTACATAAATAAAAAGCGATTTCAGAGCTTCAGTGATTTTTAAAAATAATTTTATGTACAATTTTAGATATATATTTTTAAAGATTTTATTTATTTATTCATGAGAGATATACAGAGAGAGGCAGAGACATAGGCGGAGGGAGAAGCAGGCTCCCTGTGGGAGCCTGATGCCGGACTCGATCCCAGGACCCTGGGATCACAGCCTGAGCCAAACGCAGATGCTCAACCACTGAACTGCCCCTACAATTTTAGATTTATGGAAAAGTTGTAAACATAGTACAGAGTATTCCCTTATATCCCACACCTAGGTTCAGCTTCCCTTAATGTCATTTTTAGGATAGTGCATTTATCATTACGATTACATTGCTATTAACTAAATTCCAGACTTCATTGGGATCTCACCAGTTTTTTCATTACTGTCCTTTTGCTATTCTAGGATCTTATCCAGGATGCCATATTGTACTCTGTGGTCATGTCACCTTATACTCTCTTGTCTATAAGAGTCTCACGGTTGTTTTTGTCTTTTTATGACCTTGTTACTTTTGAGGAGTACAGCTCAGATATTTTGCAGAACATCACTCAAATGTTTCTTTAATATTTTCTCATTATTATACTGGGTTTATAGGTTTTGGGAAAGAATACCACAGGGGTAAAGTGCCCTTCTCAACATATCCTATCGGGGGTATGTGATATTCACATAACATCACAGATAAGGTTAATCTTGATCAAGACCATGTTTGCCAGATTTCTCCACTATAAATTACTCTTTTCCCCTTTCCATACTGTATTCTTTGGATCAAATTACTGTGTCCAGATAATTCTCAATAGGGCAAGGCAGGGACTAAACAGTATACTCCTGGATATATCATTTGGAATTCTTCCAAGAGGAAGACTTGTTTCTTGCTCTCTAAATTTTGTTTATTTGTTTGTTTCAATATGGACTCATATGTTATTTTATTCTTTGGATACCACGTTATTTGTTTTATTGCTCAAATTGTTCTAGCTTTGGCTGTTGGATGTTCTTTCAAGTTGGTTTAATATCTTAAAGTGTAAAGTAGCCCTGACTGAATGTTTGCGAATAGCTGGTTTAGGATATGATCATAGGCTTGAGTAGCTGAGGCAGGAAACAAGACAATGTTATTGGAAGAGATTTTTAGGAATTAAGAGTTCAGGATATGAGAAAATAACCACCAAGAATTTAAATTATCTTTTAAAAAAAGCTTGCTTTATATTTATTTATTTATTTATTTATTTATTTATTTAATATTATTTAGATATTATTAAATAAATTTATTTATTTAAAGACTGAGAGAAAGAGAGAGAGAGAGCACAAACAGGAGTGGCAGAGGGAGGAGAAAGAAACCACCAGACTTCTAGCTGAGCACGGGGCCCGGCTAGGAACTTGATGTCACAACCGTGGGATCATGACCCCAGTTGAAACCATGAGTCAGACAGTTAACCGACTGCACCACCCTGGTGCCCCAGTCACCAAGAATTTAAATATGAGTAGCTTGAAAGATGGATAGTGAACCAGAGCTAAGGTCATTTAGAAATGAAGGGGAAGATGGTAGGGGAATTGATTGATAGACGAAAGCTACGTGAGTTTCAAAGAAACATCTGGTGGATGGTTTGAAAGGAGAGAGAAAGAATGATCTGAAATGATAATAAGGAGAAAGGAAGACAAACCTAGTGGTTTCTTCCAAGGCTATGTGAGGAAAAGCAGTCATCTGAGATGACCGCAGGGAAAGCAGTGTCTTCAGAGAAGAGACCTGGGTTTCATACTAGAAAAAGAAGAAAGAGACATTCAGAGAATTGTTAAGGACATAGAGGATTTTGCTGCTAACAGATTGTCAGTTTCAGAAGGCACAGTGAAAAAACTTCCTTCCAGAATTAGGGTGGGATGGGAGATGGCAGTAAAATCGAGAATGTGCAAGAGTTAAGATTAGTGTGTGAGGGCTGAGTGTAATCTGGGAGCTGTAGTTTCTTGTGGTGGCCAACATAAACAAGGATCCAGGGGTGAAGGGAATGATAACTTTTGTCTTGGTAGACCTGAAACACATAGTGGTGGTGAGGCTGTGAAAGTTTCAAGGGTGGGGAGGAATTTTGAAGCCTTTCTTTTGAGCAGTGCAGAAGAAGGCAAAGAGGACAATTTTACTTGAGCTTGAGCACATGCTAAACAAGTGAGTATTCAGATTAACTCAGCTATGCAATTGGGGGCTCCCGTTTGATCTCTGTCAAGTGGAAGATAAGAGGCTTGAACTGTCTGGTGTTACTCATGTATAATATATACACAGAAAAATGCACAAATTAGTGTGGGGCTTGGTGAATTTTCACCAAATGAACACACCTGTGTAACCAGCCCCTACATCAAGAAGCATAACATTACTAGAACCAAAAAAGTAGTCCCTTAAGGGCAACCATTATCCTAGCTTTTTTTTTTTTTTAAGATTTATTTATTTGTTCATGAGAGGCACAGAGAGAGAGAGGCAGAGACACAGGCAGAGGGAGAAGCAGGCTCTACGCAGGGAGCCTGATGTGGGACTGGATCCCAGGACTCCAGGATCACACCCTGAGCTGAAGGCTGACGCTAAACCGCTGAGCTACCCAGGTGTCCCTTGTTACCCTAACTTTTAACAATTGATTAGTTTTGCCTGTTCTTGAAGTGTATGCAAATATAATTATAGAGTATATTTTCTTTTGTCTGCCTTCTTTTCCACAACATTGTGACACTATTATAATTATAGTTCACTTCATGTGTGGAGCCGGATGCAGGACTCGATCCTGGGACTCCAGGATCATGCCCTGAGCCCAAGGCAGATGCTCAACTGCTGAGCCACCCAGGCATCCCTGTTTCTACTTTTTAACTATTTACAAAAACTGCTGCTACGAAAATTCCTAAGCACATCTTTCAGAAAACATATATCCATGTTTCTATATGGTATATTTTTTATGGGTGGAATTGCTGGGTCTATGGAAGATGAATGTGTTTTAAGTTTAGAAGATATTGCCGAATTGCCGAAAAAAAAAAAAAAGAAGATATTGCTGAAAGGTTTTCCAAGATATTGTATTTATTTATATCCACACCAGCTTGTGTGAGTATTCTGTTTGCTTCATACCTTTTTCAACACTTGGTATTATTTGTCATTCATTCTAGCCATACTTTGAAATTGTGTGTGTGTGTGTGTGTGTGATATTTTATTGTGGGTTTTAATTAATGAAGCTGAACACCTTTCGTATGTTAGGTTTCCATTTGGGTAAGTGACCTGCTTGTTTTTCCTATTGGAGTTGTTTGCCTTTTCCCTACTAATTTGAGTTCTGTATATGTTTTGGATATGAAGCTCTTGTCAGATATGTGAAATGCAAATATCTTTATCCTACCCTGTGGCTTTACCTTTTTGTTCTTAGTGGTAACTTTTAATAAATAGTAGTTCTTCCTCCCTCCCCCCCAGCTTTATGTATGATTGACAAAAGTTATATATATTTAAGGTACAAAGGATGTTTTGATATGCCACAAACTGATCAATATATCCATCACCTTACATAGTTTTCTTTGTGTGTGTGTGTGTGGTGAGAACACTTACGATCTACTCTTAGTAAATTTCAAGTATACGTTTTTAACTGTAGTTACTATACTATATGTACATTGGATCTCCAGAACTTACTCATCTGATGACTGAAAGTTTACTCCTTTTTTTAAATTTTATTTTTATTAAAGATTTTATTTATTTATTCATGAGAGACAGAGAGGCAGAAACACAGGCAGAGGGAGAAGCAGGCTCCATGCAGGGAGCCCGACGTGAGACTTGACCCTGGGTCTCCAGGATCACGCCCTGGGCTGAAGGCGGTGCTAAACCGCTGAGCCACCTGGGCTGCCCCAGCATTTGTCTTTCTGTGTCTGGTTTATTTCACTTAGCATAATGTCCTACAGGTTCATCTGTGTTGTCACAAATGGCAGAACTGCCTTCTTTTTAGGACTGAATAATATCCTGTTGTGTGCTATATTTTCTTTATTCATCTGTTGACAGGCAGAAGTTCTTACTTACTTTTAATGAAGTCCAATTTATTTTTTTAACTGCCTTATGATTAGTGCTTTTGTGCCTCTTGTTTAAGAAACCTTTGCATACTCCAAGTTTATGAAGGTATTCTTTTATGTTTCCTTCCAAATGCTTTGTTTTACCTTTTTTCACTTAAATCTATAGATCCATGGAACTGATTTTTGCATAAAGTTGAACTAGTAGGCCATGGTTCTCTTCCCACTCTCTACCCCATGTTACTGTCCATTGACTTAAGCCTCATTTAATTTAAAGACTGTGCTTTTCCTACTGAATTACAGTGTCACTTTTGTTATAAATCAGGTGACATATATATGTAAGTCTGTTTCTGGCTACTCTGTTTCATTACTGTTGTTGTTGTTGTTTTTTTTCCTGGCCCTTCTGATAATACCACACTGGCTTAACTACTATGATGTTGGTAAGTTTTCTAGTAAACCCTGATATTTAGAAGTTCAAGTCCTATAGCTCTGTTGTTCTTCAAGATTGCTTTGACTATCTTTGATCCTTTGCAAATCCCTCTTGATTCCTTTTAACCTTTAAAAAATTAGTCTTAATTTTAAGTAGGGAGTTATTTTAAATTTTATCTCCCCAATTCTCTGTAATTTGATGTAGAATGGTTTTTGTGATAATTTTCTGTCCTACTAGATAAACAATGCATAAATTTAAAAAAAGAACACTTATTTGCATTTATATTTACTTTGTTCCAGGGGTACCTGGGTGGCTCAGTTGGTTAAGTGCCTGACTTCAGCTAAGGTCATGATCTCAAAGTCATCAGGCCCCGCCCTCCCTGGGAGTCTGCTTGTCCCTTTCCCTCTCTCTCTGCCCTTACCCTCACCCTCCACTTATGCTCTCTCTCTCTCTCTCAAATAAATAAATAAAACCTTTTAAAGAAAAAGTAGACCCAGGCAGAAAAAAAGTGAAACAAGAGAAAGAATTAATTCAGACCTGCTTTTTTATGTATAGGCAGAAACTGTGACTCCCATCTTATTAGAATCAAAGCAAAGATAGTCAGTTATGAGAGTCACAGTATCCGTATGTAAAAGCAAACTAATTATTCTATTTTTTAAATATTTTATTTATTTATTTGAGAGAGAGAGAGAGAGAGCGCGCTAGCATACACACAGAGTGAAAAGGAGAAACAGACTTCTGCCAAGCAGGACTGAGCCTGTCGTGGGGCTCAATCCCAGGACCCTGGAATCATGACCTGAGCCAAAGGCAGACAGACACTTAACTGAGCCACTCAGGTGCCCCACAAACCAGTTATTCTAAAGGAGAGTTCTTGCTGGTGGTAAAAACTGAAGATGTGAATTTTCTCCTCTTTTGGATTTTAAAGGTGATAACATACGATCTAGCAGGGTAACATTTAGGACACCATTGCAAAGCCCAGTTTATCTGAATGGACAATTCTATAAAATCAGTAGAATGATACAAATATGTGGTTTTTGATAGTTTGACTTGACCTAAGGATAAAATTTGGAATAAAAAATAAGTGGGCTATTTTTAATTCTAAAAAAGTAACATGCATATCTCTCAATTCTTAATGAATGAATGAATATATGTGTGTGTGTTTATACGCATTTTTCTTAACCATAGTTTTATTTATTTATTTATTTTTTAACCATGTTTTTAATGAGAATTGGATAATAGAAACCTTAGAGTATATTCTTTGGCAAGAACCTGTGTTGTTCATTAAGACATATCTGTAAGCTGTAAACAAAAATGATTAAATAAAACTTTCACAGTTAAAAAAAAGGCCTCTCTCTACACTTTGAAAGATAGCTGAGAAGAGGCTATATGAGTTGATATTCTTCAATAGTAATATTTCATAGTATTAAAACTTTATTGCCACTGTAATAAGTGCTTTAATTTGTATTATTTATTACTGTAATAAGTGCTTTTATTTGCATTTTTTATTTTAATCCTCACAATAACCCCTTGAAAGTAGGTACTGTGGCTATCTGTATTTCACAGATGAAAAAAGTAAGGTAATACTACAAATAAGTAATAGAATCAGGATTCAGTTTCTGGCAATTATGCTTCTATTTCTACTACCTGAAAATGCTGATGAAAATTAAGAGGCCTCATACAGGATTTGTGCCTGAATTAGGAGGTTAGGAAATTCAGATAGAGCTAAGATTTTTCTTCAAGAGGCAGTTTCTAGGTTTACTCTCATACAAATGGTGAAGAAAACCACATTGTACTTTCACAGAAATTTTGCTTGAGATAAATTTGTTTTGCATTTTCTTTAGCTTCTTTTTTTTCTTATTTTTATTTAACTAAATCCCAGTCTTCTGAATAACTATTGTTGAATATGATCATTATCCTGAATATTATCACTTTTACTCTTGTTTTATGAGTATTAAGCTTTTAGGGAACCAAATCGCTGGTCTAAATATAAAGAATCAAAATATAAGCAAATTGAATTACTTAAATGCTTTCTATGAAGTCAATTTTTTAGCATGTCTTTTTATATTTTTACAGTTTTAAAATATTTTCTGCAATTTTCTTAAAACGCATAATATTTTGGAACTATTTCATTGAAACTAGGGGAAAGTGTTCAGTATGTTTTGCAGCTGGCATTCCTGAAAGCTAAATGAAAATTGCAGAGCCAATTTCATTACATTGTGATATTTATACTTTTATTCAAATATTTGTGTTTGAATGCTTGTTTGTGTACATTGTTTTGAAATGAGCTTAGTAATTTATGCTTGAAACTGCTTTAATTTCACAAATAAGAAGTAACTACATTTTAGAGGATTAGTTCTATTCATTGTAATCTGACTATAAAATGTATTTAAAATTTTAGCATTTTTCTATGTTAACTTCCAGGTCGAAGGTCTAGAACAGATGTGGAAAGATGTTCACTTCAGAAAAAGGGGCTGTGGAGGAATGGTTGTCAGAGTTTAAGGTAATATTATTGTTTCAATATAATAATTATATACCAAAGAAGTTTTGTTTTTTTTTTTTTAAAGATTATATTTATTCATTCATGAGAGACCCAGAGAGGCAGAGACATAGGCAGACGGAGAAGCAGGCTTCCTGTGCAGAGTGTAATGCGGGACTCATCCCAGGACCCTGGGATCATGACCCAAGCCAAAGGCAGATGCTCAACCACTGAGTCACCCAGGTACCCTTGTTTGGGGCTTAAATCTCAGTGGCTGTTTTTTTTTTTTTTTTTTAATTTTTTTTATTTATTTTATGATAGTCACAGAGAGAGACAGAGAGAGAGAGAGAGAGAGAGAGAGGCAGAGACAGAAGCAGGCTCCATGCACCGGGAGCCCGACGTGGGATTCGATCTGGGGTCTCCAGGATCGCGCCCTGGGCCAAAGGCAGGCGCTAAACCGCTGTGCCACCCAGGGATCCCTCAGTGGCTGTTTTTAAAATATTATTTTACTTCTTATAATTTTTATTTTTTTATGACTGAAAGGCTAAGAATCTACGGAAGCAAAAATATGGGCCAACAAATCTTAATAAGGAAGTATTTACACATAGTAATTTTTTCCAGAAAATCAATTCCTTTTTTATCCCAAGTGGTTAAAAGAGTTGGTTTTCTCCTTTTCATAGCAATACCACAAAGAATGGTTAAAGTTTCTGAACGTTAATGTTACCCTCTCCAACCATCAAAGATTTGTGATTGAAATGTGTCTCCCAATTTGGAGGGCAATGAGAGTGGGTATGATCAACAATGAGAAGATGGGAAGGTATCTGCCCACCTTTCTACAAATGGATCCTTCTCTAGCTGGCTGATTTTTGTTTTCTTACGAACTTTTCTCTATAATAGCTAAAATTGTGTTCTTTTTTTTGGGGGGGGGGAGCAGCAGAGGGAGAAGGAGAAAAAGAGGGAATCTTCAGCAGGCTCCACACCCAGTGCAGAGCCTGACATGGGGCTCTGTCTTTCAACCCTGAGATCATGGTCTGAGCAAATACCAGCAGTTAGTTCAACCCTTAACAAACTGAACTACCCAGGCAACCCAAAAACTGTATTCTTTAACTAGTTAATTGGTTGCTCCTGGTCCTCTGGGTCTTCTTACACATAATTATGTGAACTTCATGATGATGAACCATAGGAATGAGGGTTTGGGCTGTAACTGTCACTGTCCAGCCTAGTTATTAGCCCACAATGTTCAGGGACAAATGTCAAAGTCAGACTTATTGGCTTGTTTCCAAGAGGGAGACTATACACCAGGCACTGTATGGGCATCTTGCCAAACAGAGGACAAGACAAAATTATAGGATTTGGAGGAAAAGTGAAGTTTAGATGTAATGTAAATGAAGTAGTATTTTGATGAGCTCAAAACAAAGCAGGGCTGTGTATAAATCTGGTGTGGACTTCAAAGTGGACCCAGGGTCATGTTGACTTGGAAACTACAAAGTTAACATCTATGTGGAATGTTGTGTTCAGAAGTTCTGGCTTCTTATCTGAAGCTCTGGCTTGGTTGGAAATCAAGCCTGCTTCTTGGCGTCAAGGTGACTTAGATCCTCCAGGCAAGAGTGGGATGTTTCATTCTTACTGATGTATGTTCATACAGCAAAGTTTTTGATATTTATGATTTTAGATAACAAGGCTTCTCAGTGAGTAAGAATACAGTTAGTCACTCAAAAAGGGAGGTTGTTATGAAGCTTCAGCTGCAGTGTGTCCTTGAGAGAAGCAATGTTTCCTGTTAATTTTGCAGCTGGCCTTATCAGTCATTATTACCTCATTCTAACAAATGGCTGGGAAGATTTTCACTTTGTCAGTTATTATAGTCATGAGTTGATTATCCTCCTATTGATCCCCTAAGTTATCATAAAGTGATGTAGAATCTTATAAAAGTGCACTGTATATAGTGCCTTCTACATATTTAATATTTAATTTATTCATTCATGAGTGATACACAGAGAAGCAGAGACATAGTCAGAGAGAAGCAGGTTCCATGCAGGGAACCTGATGTGGGACTCGAGCCCAGGATTCCAGGATCACGCCCCGGGTCAAAGGCAGACACTTAACCACTGAGCCACCCAGGTGTCTCGCCTTCTACATGTTTGAACAATTTGCTTAAACATTCCACATATGTTATTTTTATGAGTGTTTAGAGTGTTTTCAAGCTTTTTTTTTTGCTTCAGAAGTGTTTAACATGGCTCATTATATCATGATTTTTTAAAAAAATAATTATTTGTGAAAGAGAGGGATAGCCACATGTGTGTACATGCATGAGTGCAGGGAGAGGCAGAGGGAGAAACAGACTCTCCTCTGAGCAAACAGCCGGACATGGAGCTTAATCCCAGGACCCTGAGATCATGACCTGAGCCAAAGACAGACTCTTAACTGGCTGAGCCACCCAGGTGCCCCATCGTGATTTTTTTTGACAAGTTGATGGAAACTGTCAAGTGTAAGAGTTGAGTACTAATTCTAGGGCATTGTAATGTTTAATAGTGAATACAAATTAGCAAAACAAACATAGCCAGCCAGTTAGCCATTTTTTAGTATGGGAGTTGAGGAAAGGAGGCATGTTGAAGGATGGGGTATCGGGGAGGGTTCAACTATTAAGGGAAATAATTGAAAATCGTGACTTATTCCCTTACTTTCCTGTCTGTTTACTTATTCCCTTTCTCCTGACTTGGATATGTAGGACTCTAGCAAGTGTAGCAGTGAAGGGTAATGGGGCAGTGCAGTAATATGTTTGCCCCAGTGTTTGAGGAAGTGGATAGTTGGGCAGAGGGTTGCAGAGGTAATAGGTAGAAGACTCAGCCAGAGTGATTACATTGGAAGTTGGTTACTTTGAGTAAGTAAGTAAATATATGGAGGATAATGAGAGTTAGGTTTCTCTGTGTCTGAGAAAGAAATTAGAAACATGGACAGGAAAAAACAAGAAAGAATGCTAAGGTGTTAAACTGGAATTGGAACAATCTATATGAACTAATGGTTCTAAATATGTATATGATAAAGCTATACATGTAAAACCACATATATATATATATATATGTTACATGTTTTGGTTAAAATATTTAAGAAAGGAAGTTTGGATTCATTTTTATATATATAAATATCTATATATAATATATATAGATATATATATAGATATAGATCTCTCTATAGAGGGAGAGAGAGAGAGAGATGGGGGGAAGCCTCTGTTTGGCTTATTTTTTTTTTAAGATTTTATTTATTTATTCATGAGAGACACACACGGAGAGAGGCAGAGACATAGGCAGAGGCAGGCTCTATGCAGGGAGCCCGATGTGGGACTCAATCCAGGGACTCCAGAATGACGCCCCGGGCCAAAGGCAGACTCTCAACTGCTAAGCCACCCAGGCATCCCTGGTTGTTTAATTTGATAACTATTAAGGCTATTAAGGCTAAGATAATCAGATTGACAAAGGTATAGTACAAAGCATATAGGGCTGAGAAGTCAGAAACACTTTGATTTAATTATAATTATTCTGCTAGGTAGTTTTATGATGTTGGAAAAATCACATTAACTTTTTTAGGTTTCAGTATCCTAACCAGAAAAAGTGAAGTGGCTGGTCTATGAGGATGATTTTAGTTTTATATTGTTCCATGGCCGAAGTCTGAACCCTCAACTCTAAAACTTCATTCACCACACTTGTAAGCGCACAAAGACAACACAGTTTGCTTTGTGCAAATTTTTTTTTCCTCTTTGGAAAAACTATTCAATATCTATTCTAGCTATGGGCCCTCATTAGTATTTCTTTTATATACCAACAAAGTGATTAGACTTGAGACTCATTATTTTAAGAATTTCATGAGTAGTTGTTTCTTTTTTTTTTTTAGATTTTTCAAAAATATATATTTATGTGAGAGAGAGAGAATGAGTGAATAGGTTTTGTTGGGGGTGGGGGGAGGTACAAAAGGAGAGGAAGAGAAACAGACTCCCTGCTGAGCAGGGATCCTGGTGCAGGGCTAGACCTCAGGACCCCTGAGATCATGACCTGAGCCAAAACCAAGAGTCAGATGCTCAACCAATTGAGCTATCCAGGCACCCCAAGGTTTTATGTGTTTATTCATTTGAGAGAGAGAGAGCATGCACATACATGAGTGGGGTGTGGGGCAGAGAGGGAAGGAGAGGGAGAGAGAGAATTTCTCAAGCAGACTCCACCTGGAGTGTAGAGCTGGATGAAGGGCTCTCAATCCCAAGACTTGAGATCATGACCTCGGAGCCAAAACCAAGAGCTGGCCGCTCAACTGAATGAGTCTCCCAGGCACCCTTCCATTGTAATCTTTTCAAAGATTTATTTATAAAGTATTATCTTTCAGATTGTATTGTGCTTTTCTTAATGCTATGTATAGATTTATCTAGCAGATTTCTAGACTCCTAACTTTTTAAATTTTCTTGTAGTCACTGAATCTTAAAATCTAATCTTGTGTATAATGTTGCTGAACAGAGTTGTTTTATTTATTGGTTCTCCATCCATCTGTCTGTCTTCATTAATTCTCTTCCACCCAACCCATATCACCTCCTTACATTTTAAAAAACCATCTGCCAAATGATACTTTAGTATGAAGCATCTGTCTTCTTCAAATTTTGCCAAGACTAATTTCCCATTATTTTATTTTATTTTTTTGTCTCCAGTTCTGCCTTCTGAAAAGTGAGAAAACTTAGCTGATATTTCAGGCTAGTAGCTTTGAACTAGTACAGTGCAAGAAAATGTAAAGGTTTGTTGTAATAGTATTTAAATCCTTCAGTCTCTATTAGATTTTAAGTTTTTCAAAGCATTGTTCATAAACACAGCAATTATATTTCCTCCCCTTCCATAGAAGAAAGTAGCTTTTCTCACATTTACAAAATGAAATAATGACAGAATTGTGCACTAATTTTTAGAAGACCTTTCCTCTCATTTAGCAGTATATTCCTAGACCCAGGGTATTTTCTGGGGTTTATCTTTTCAGAGAAGAGCTATCCTTTTGCCTTTAGTTGTTTCACAGAAAGTATTTTACAAAAGAAAGGAAGAAAGAAAGAAAGAAAGAAAGAAAGAAAGAAAGAAAGAAAGAAAGAAAGAAAGAAAGAATTTTACTTCATGAGGGTTAATTGGTACATAAACTAAAAATTGTAATTCACCTTTTTTATGAATATTATGGTTTTAGCCTAGGTAGTATATGTAATATTATAATTTTTTTATTCACTAATCATTTTTTAAGATTTATATTTCAATTCATTTAGTTTTAAATTTTATAGTTAGACACACATGTAATAGTGTATGTTTTTTTTTTTTGTGATAGTGTATTTTATACATATAAGTTGGATTCACTTCCATTCAGGGACTTAAAAATCTGTTGTTTATTTGACCATTATTCCCTTTTATATAAATTCCCCTAGTATTAGGTTACTCTTGATCAAATAACGGAAATTAAATGTTGCCTGGAGATCTTTTGTTACATGCTTTTGAAATATTGAAGAATGCCCTAATCTCTTTATGTAAGTAGTTGCTGTGAAACTTTTTTTTTTACTTTGGAGAATGGTGGAAGGTTTCCAGGTAGTTCACATTTACTTAGCATTCTGGTAAACAAAACTATCTTATTGACTTAAAAAAAGAATCTATTCACTTATATGTCTTAAGATGAAATGTGACCTATTTTTAAAGAATCTACTGAAGTGTAATGGTGGCAATGTTTATTTCTTATTCTGTTCACCTATAATAAATCCCTTCAGCAAAGGTTTGAATATGAGACCTTGTGCTGAGTGCCACGGATGGAGAGATGGATGATAAAATAGTTTTTTCCCTTAAGGAGCTCATGGTAAAGTAAAAATGAATCACATATCAGTGGTATAAACATTCATGCTGTTTAATTTTCTATGTCTGTTTATGGACATGTACACTTACATACACTAACCATAACTGTTTTAAATTATGAAATACTAGGAGGTGGGACATGTAAGAAATAGTGTACATCTTGGAATGACTGTTAGGAATATTTTGAGATATTATATATACTGCAGGATTAGTATTTGTTAATTGATTGAAGTAATTTACATAAGAAAAAATAATGACTTGGAGACAGATATTAAGAAAGGGGTATACTCTAGAAGGGTAAGTTTTTTCATTTGTTATAATGAAGTGTTTTGTTTTTGTTTTTGTTTTCAGATTTCACAATTACTTTTACCCAAAACTGTCTGACTAAAATTTTATTTCCTCCCATTCCTCTCTGGTCATGGTGTCTTTTCTGAATGGGTGGTGCTGGCGAGCTGTAATTGGTTGTCCATGTTTTAAATGGCATTAGGAAAACTAGTTTGAAAAAAAAAAAAAAGGAAAACTAGTTTGTTGATAGTGTGGCTTTTTCTCTAGTTCTGAGAGGTCTAAAATTTGCCCCTTACTCCTAAATTAATAGTTACTATATGTAACTCAGTAGTTACTTTGATAGATGATCTGTGGCTTTAAGGTTTGAAACATTATTAGATTCTTATATAACATGTTTATTAAGAAGTAGGATCAATATCACTAATGAGATTTGTAACTTATATAATGCTACAAAGAAATATATCTTTGGATTTTCACATGCTTTGTATTCTCATTTCTAACCCCAAATTGTGATCAAAGATGAAATGATAATGTTAATTTCTATCCCTGTTGATGATAAGAAAATTAAATATATTTTTTGTTGAGACATGATTCACATAACATAAAATTCATTGTTTTAGGGTGAAAATATAGTGGTTTTTGGTATAGTAATATTGTTGTGCAACTAACACCAGCATCTAATTCCATCACACCAAAAAGAAACTCCATACCAGTTAGTTACTCCTAATTACCCCTCCCCCTATCTCTGGCAACAACTGATCTACTTTCTGTTTATGGGTTTGGGTATTCTGGACATTTCATAAAAATAAAACCTATTTTTTAAAATTTGTTTAGACACTACCAGAAACATCTTTATCAAATTATGCTACAAATTTGAAAGACAAGAGTTCTTTAGTTTCATCTCTGTATAAAGTTATCCAGGAACCACAAAGTGAGGTAAGTACTTTTACAGTTTATTGTATTAGTAGTATTCAATTGATTGATTTTAAATTTTTTATTATGAAATATAACATATATATAGAAAAGTAAGAAAAGATATGTTTAAGGAACTTTAATATATATTATGGATTTTTATCTGATTACATTTGAGAAATGGGTTGGAGAGGATAAGAGTAAAATATCTTCAAAAACTGGTAGAGTTGAAAAAAAAAAAGAACTATAGTAACATGAACTTCACTGTACCATCTCCTAGGCCAAGAAATAGAATTACTACCATATTCTAAAAGCCATCTCTGAACATGTTCCTCCTCTTCCTCTACCTATTTGCCTGTCTGTTTATCTATCTTGTTAGAGGTAGCCTAGAAAGTCAAGATAATTATATGTATTGACAGATTCAACAAATATTTGTTTGCTCATTATGAGCTAGCTTCAGTGCTAGGCAATAGAAAATCAAAGATAACACATGGTCTTTATCCTGAAAGAAGAAAGAGGGAGAAAATAAGTAAATACATGTTTTCAAGGCAATGCCTAGATAGATACGCACAATTCCAGGTATGCAAGGTGAAAGGACATTCCAAACTGTTGGATTAGTATATAGAGGGCTGAGAAAATGCAAAACATTTAAGGATGGCAACCAGTTTGGCTCAGCTGGTGTTTCTCTGTCCTTCCTTCTTTTCTCTTGCCCCCATCTTTTTTCCTTCTTTAGAAAGAAAATTTAGTTTGAAGGTGATAAAATGACCTATACTCCAGATCCTGGTGCTTACAAATCCCACCATTCATAGTAGAAATAGAAAAGGATTGGAGTTAGCGTGGGAAAAAAGGCATGGCATTTGGGAAAAAAATAGGCTAATGCAATAGTTAACAAGAGAATAAGAGTGATACTGAACTAAAGCTGGAAAGATTGGTTTAGGCTGTAACCATGGTGAGCCTTGAATTCCATCATAAGCAGTTTAGACTTTTTTTGCACTAAAGGCATGACTTGATCAGATTATTGTTTCAGGAAGTTGACTATGTGGAGGATAGATTGGAGAATAGAAAAATTGAGAGCAACAGATGCTAGGACAATAGCCTAGGAGGGAGCTATTGAGAATGGAAAGAGATGGAGTAGAGGGGAAGGATATGAGGTATGTAGTTCTTTTTGTACCTAAGTTTGGTAGCTCACAAGGCAGGTCTAACACCACTAATGTTATTATTCGGTGGTTAAATAACATAATCTTGAGTCTGGTCCCATGTGGATCTATGCGTCCTTTGGATGAAGCTCTTAAAACTACAGTCTATTTTATTTATTTTATTGTATTTGGGAAGGGGTTCTGGAAAAACCCATCTTCTACTGATGATGCTATAAAGTGCATCATGACTTTTACAGGCTGAAGAAAAGAGTAGGGATGAAATTGATAAGCCCAAAACTTTATTTGGAATAACTGAATAAAACAATCATATTTTGCTTCTTCCTTCGTTCTCCCCAGTGTTTTTAAATTTGTGTAGTACGTATAGGTAGCTTATTTTCTTGAAGGGTTTTAGTTTTTAATTATTGGGTGGAAGGTATTTTACAGTTTTCATGTTTGAGAATTATTTCACCAAATAGAGTAAGAATAGATATATGCTTTATTATTTTTTTAATTAAATCTTGTTTCTAATAGACTAGCTTGGTTCATAGCATTTCTTTTATTTAAAATGAATACAGTTCTCATGGTTCAGAGTAGTAGTTCTCAAAATATTTGTGGTGAAGGACCAGTTTTTTAAAAAGTTTCAATCTGTCACAGACCTATATATGTAGCTAATATACATGATGAATGTGCAACTCACATCATATGTGAAGTACCACACAAATTTGATAAACCCCTACTGATCTATACTATATCCTGTTCAGTAAGTGTGCTGATCACCTACTTGGATGTAAAAGTTTCTAAATGTTTCCTCGCAATTTCTGTATTTACATTGTTGGGCACTGGTGACATTTGTGGATAGTCTTTGGTTCATGGACCACACTTTTAGAAGCACTGGTTTAGGAAGTTTTGCATGTAAGTTTGTTTTATGTTTTTAGCTTGATTCATGTGGTAAAGATGGTGTATTCTATATCTTAAAACACAACTCAGTCTTAAAAAATATATTTAGAAGTGCTTCTAAAATATAATGGTGTAATCTAATATCATAACCTCCCTTTTTCTCTTTAGAATATTTTTTTTTATAAATTTTTTTTTATTTATTTATGACAGTCACAGAGAGATAGAGAGAGGCAGAGACACAGGCAGAGGGAGAAGCAGACTCCATGCACCGGGAGCCTGACGTGGGATTCGATCCTGGGTCTCCAGGATCGCGCCCTGGGCCAAAGACCGGCGCTAAACCACTGCGCCACCCAGGGATCCCTCTTTAGAATATTTTGTATCTTAATTTGGAGATATTCCTAAAATGTTGATATTATTCATTGTCTTTTGGCATTTTTGAAATTTGGGACATTGTTTTGGGTGTTTTTTAAAGTTTAGCAAATTTAGTATTTGGATTTTATTAATAGAACTTTTTCACTATTCAGTTTATTTTATTTAATAAGTATTTATTGAACCCATATAATGTGCCAGAAATCACTTAGAAACGTAGCAGTGAACAATATAGTCCTAATTCTTGATCTTTTGGATTAGAACTTGTATTCTGGTAGGTAAAATAGATATTAAGCAAATACTTAAATGTATAATACAGTGTTGGGTAGTGATAAAACCATGAAGAAAAATAAAGTGGAGTAGGAGGAAGTTTGTGTTGAGGTTCAGGAGGTATGGGTTGAATCAGCTCTGAATGAATTAGGGAGAAAAAATAAAACTAGGGGCAAGAGTTTTCCAGGAGAGGGAGTAGTTGTAACTGCAAAGGCCCTGTGATAGAAAATGTGTAGTATGTTCAAGAAATTATAGAGGCAGTTTATGGGTACAATACGGTTTGCCTGAGTGGTCCTTTTAATTGACTGTAACTTTAAGACAGGCATATGATTAGAGGCTAACAGACCTCAAGCGTGTTATGAAATCAGTTGTTTTGTGAAAGAGCCACATAGTGTCTCTTTGGTGTTCTGGGCATAGGGAGCCCAAAGTATGGAGCGACCACTCAGGGCCTACTAACACCTGAATGGTGGTATCCTTCCAACTTTTTAAAAATCTTTTTCCTACCTATGTTCTTCAGGAATAGCTCAATGTAAAAAAAAAAAATTAATTTGCAAGATTTTCTTAACTTTTCCCCAACTTCTATCCCTGCTTTAGTCATTGAAAGGCATTTTATCTTTTTTTAATTATTTATTTATTTATGATAGTCACAGAGAGAGAGAGAGAGAGAGAGGCAGAGAGAGAAGCAGGCTCCATGCACCGGGAGCCCGACGTGGGATTCGATCCCGGGTCTCCAGGATCGCGCCCTGGGCCAAAGGCAGGCGCCAAACCGCTGCGCCACCCAGGGATCCCCATTGAAAGGCATTTTAATGTCACATTTCTATTACTATTAGAAATCTCTCTGAGGATAGTCTTCTTATCTGCAAATGGATTTTTATAAAAGTTTATTTGTAACTTACTTGTTTTAGAATCCAGAATGAATTTTAGAATGGAAAGAAGGTACATGATTTTTAGGTTCTCATTAGACCCATAAAAAGCCCATTTAATACCTGAAAATATACTTGAAGTGCAGCTCTCTTAGTAGTACTGTAAAATCTACCCACCAAATATAACAATATGTCCATGAGAAAATACGTACAAAAATTCAAACCAAATACTGTTAATATATCATATTCTAATGTTCCATTTACTTGTCTCAAATATATTCAAGTTAGGTAAGTCAAATACTGCCTGTTTTTCTTACGTTATATATCTTTCCTGATATTTTTCAGGTATGTTTGTAAAGGAGTCAAAAAGTGTTAGCTCCCAGTTCTGACCTTTGTGAGCTGCATAATTTTGGTTATAGTAGATAGTCTCTTTGTCTCAATTTCCATATGTAGAAAGTATGGATAATGATACTTTACCTACAATGTTGTGGGAATTGAACAGGTTCAGGTACTTTGAAAGTACTTTGCATGTATTAAAATACTGCACAGATAATGCATTTCTCTCTGTCTTGGTTTGACATGCATAATTTCATCTAACCTCACTGTAACATAATGATTTCTCCACCCCTTTGAAGCTGTCTTCATTTGGTTCTGCTTTCATAAAACAAAAGCTCATTTAATTTTGGATTTTAATTGGTTATAAGACCTTTTGAAGGTGTTTTGATTAAAATTGATTGTGTGTTCATGCAGACTTGAATAAATTTTTTTAAATAAATTTTCAACATAAGATTTCATAATTTCCCAAATACTTGTTAGAAAATATCAATTGATTTAACCAAAGTTTTCCCAGGTATTTAAAGATAAGGGATCTTACACAACAATACAAGATTGTTGACATTGGTCCACGAAGAAATTTAAAAAACCCTACCTTGAAAGCCAAACATTTCCCTTCCAGTTTTTCTTTTTTCCTACCACCCTGAACCCAATTATTCCAAATTCCTACCTTAAAAATGTCTCTTGTGACATAGGAATGGGGTTACTTTGCTTCCAACCCTCCACTTTCCTGTTACCCTTGCTGTGCCACAGTAGACGCCTGTTGCCTCTTGACAACCACTTTGGGAGAGAAAAATATTCCTTAACTGTCAGAAGTTAGATAATTTTTCAACAGGAAAGACTAGTTTGACTTAATGTTTATTGAAGTGTAACTTTCACTACATCTTGTGTAAGTAATACTGACTTTAATTGTACCCAATATTTACATATTTATCATATTTGAAATAAAAATATCCACTGTATGTTAGTTTCTATTCATTACAATTACTGGAAATAGAAAATTTGTTTAGTAAATTGACTTAAATCTATTGCCTAAGTTGGTGAAGTGAATGAATTATAGTTCATGGAAAATACAATAGCCCAGTGTTTTGAAAAATCAGTACCTTGTAAATCTCTTCACATATTTATGACTTGTGTGTGATCATTGTATATGCTTTAAGATGGTATTTATAAATAAGAGTCTCTTATGTTAACTTTCTGATTTAAAGAAAGGTCTATGATATAGATTCAGTCAGCTCTGTTAGCTGGGTAATGCTGGCATGTGGTGGGAGAGAAAAGGTTAGAGATAACTCCAAACTGTGTTTCAAATAAAATGACAGCAATGTTTAGATTTCCCAGGGGCAATCAACCATGGTTACGATAGGGATCTAGATTTAGGGGTGCTGTAATTATTCAGCTATTCCACATACATTGCTGTTGGATGCTGCCTAATTATAAGCTCAGGAGGGTGATATGATGATAACTACCTAGGGTTCCCATTTCAATTTCTCCAACTCTATACCTAATCATGTATAAATTGACATGTTTTATCAGGAAGATAGGATATTAAGGAAGAAACTTCTTACAACCTAACTTTTAATAAGTTAAAAATATATGGTTTAAATAACAATACCACTTTAGAATTATAGATTATTTTAAAGTTTACAAGTACTTCCAAATACATTTATTTTGAACTGTTTGGCCTTCCACTGGAAGTAAACTTGCAAAGGTTTGTTAAATAGCTTAGCAATAAATAGTTTTGCTTTCAAAAACATGAAAACATTTATATATTTCAGTAATTACCAATCAGGGAAAACGATTTATATTTCATATGTCAATGTCATTCAAATATAATTTAATCCTTGAATTAACACTGCCTTTTTTCCAGTTGCTAGAACCTGTCTGTCACCAGCTGTTTGAATTCTATCGCAGTGGAGAAGAACAGTTGCTTCGATTTACACTGCAGTTTCTTCCAGAATTGATTTGGTGCTACCTTGCAGTCTCAGCCAGCAGAAATGTGCATAGCAGTGGATGTATTGAAGCTCTTCTTCTAGGGGTTTACAATTTGGTTTGTATTTAATGCACTTAACAAATGTTTGCAAAAAGCAAATATATAACCTTTTAGGCAAAAATGAATACATAGTATCAACTACTTTTCAGTTTAGTAAAGCTAATATTTGTTTTCATACATCAAATGATTCATAGCTCATTCTCTCAAAAATAACTCTATGGAGGTTGAAACCTATATGGGTATAAATATAATTATGTAAATATAATTTTTTGGATTGATTAAAGACTAAAAATCAGACCATTTCAGTTCTTTTATGGTGGTATCTAAAAATAGTGTTGAATTTTAAATTTTTCAAATTTAAAATCTATTGTCTGTAAATTGTCTTTTAATGACCTTCATAAAACACTTGAGAGAAAAGATCTAGTGAAATAGGTAACACCAAAATTTCATAAAATCTGGACTGTCTCATGAGTTCATACTACTGATTTAAATATAGTTTTCATTACTCTTTGTGTATCGATTAGTAGGTATTCTAGATATTTAAGGTTTGTAATTTTTAAAAAGGAAAAGAAATTTAAGGCCTTGTCTTGACATATTTCATAATTATGTTAATTGATTTAGGAAATGTAACTTTTTACATGAGAAAAATCAGTGATTATTAACATACTACACATCTCTATTTCAGCCATCCTATATTACTTATATCTTAAAGAGGAAGGTTAACTCTTGGTGTTTATAAATAATTCATAATTGATTACCATAGTTTATGATTTTTAGCTGACTAAAATTCCTTTCCTTTCAGGTTTCTTTTTAGACTAACAGTTTAAAATTAGTTTTTAAGCTTATGCATAAGAAATAAATACTTTAAGATTTTTTTTCACTTTTATAGGAAATAGTTGACAAACAGGGACATAGCAAAGTATTGAGTTTTACGATTCCATCTTTATCCAAACCATCTGTATATCATGAAGTAAGTGACATTTTATCAAAGTAAATTTTTTGGTTCTAAGATTTGTAGGTCCTATAAATGAGAGTCTGGTTATTGAGGCTCCTCCCCCCAAATTGATTAATTTATTGGTATCTTAAAAAGTAAAAAACGCCAGAAAAAGTATTTACTATTCCCAAAGTGAAATGAGAAATCAGAATCATAAAACTTTAAAATCTGATTAAGAGATCTATTGAAATATTGATTTTGAAATATTTTTCTCTTCTGATGGATAAAAGTAGTTTAATATTTTTATATGTGGCAATTATGTATTTCTGGAGTTGAATTTTTTATTAAGTCCTTATTTTAATTCAAGTGTAGCTTACATACAATGTAATGTATTCAACTATTCTATATATCATCTGTATTGGTATAAAAGTTTTGAAGTTAAACTATTTTTATTTCTATTTGTGGTTTAGTTTTTAATTATTTTTAAGCCTTTGAGCAGAAAATTTAGTAGGGAGTCACAATATTCTTAAGACATGATGTTCATGGCAATCATTCTTAGTGGTGTATATATTAACATATTTTCAACAGAATGGCTTTTTCTTTTTTTCTTTTTTCAAATGTCTTTAGCCTTCCAGCATTGGGTCCATGGCTCTGACTGAGAGTGCACTATCCCAGCATGGTTTGTCAAAAGTTGTGTACAGTGGACCTCACCCCCAAAGGGAGATGCTGACAGCACAGAATAGGTATACCATGGAGATATAACTTACTATCCCACTACACTGAAATTTAAGAAAACTGTTTTAGTAGATTTATAAGTAATGTTTAATAAACTCTATGTGACAATTTAACAAATATTTGGTCATTTAATACAAGAGAAAAACACATTGTCTTGATTTGTTTCTTTATACTTCGATTCAGATGTATTTTTAAAATACATTTTTAAAATAAGTTTCAGATGACTGTGACTTGAGAAGTCTTTTTTTTCTTTTTAGTTTTGTATTGTTATTGATATGGTTATATCGTAAGTGTCTATTCTATAACATAGTATCTTTCCACAATGTCTGCCTAATTATGGTTGACTTCTTAGAATTCTAAAGGCTTGTAAATATTGTTTTCATTTGTCTTCAGGTTTGAAGTGTTAACATTCCTTTTGTTGTGTTACAATGCTGCCTTAACCTACATGCCCAGTGTTTCTCTTCAATCATTGTGTCAAATTTGTTCAAGGTAAATAAAAATTCAATTTTTAAAAATATTGAAATATATGAATCTAGGATTGCTAGTTTGTTACATACCTAAGTTATTTTTGTTTTGTTTAATCCTTTGTTTAAAACATTCAAGAAGTTAATATAAATCTCAGCCTAGCCAACATACAGAAAGCTCCCAGTAAATGACAGCTCCAAAAAACATAATGAAGAGGGTAAAGGTGAATAACATTTTAGTGGAATATTTATTTTTTTATTTTTATTTTTTAAAGATTTATTTATTTATTCATGAGAGAGAGAGAGAAGCAGAGACACAGGAGGAGGGAGATTAGTGGAATATTTAATCAGAAAAGAATCATGCCATATAATTAAAAGGATGGAACTGTTAGGACCTTTTGATTTTTGGCATGTGTTTGGTTTTTGTTTTGTTACTTTGTTTTTATTTATTTTTATTGTGCTCTAATCTGGTACCAAGAACAAGTAAGAGATACTGGTTTTTAGGCTCTCCTTGCTAAAAAAAAGAAAGAAAGAAAGAAAAATTGGGCCAAGAGGTTGCTTAAATAAATTATGATAGTTCCTAGGTATACTATGCAAACGTTTAAAAATTGTATTTTAAATAGGTATTTAATGATAGTATATATGGTATGATTCCAGCATTGACTGAGTATGACCAGAATATTAAGAATACTTATGTCTAATTAGTGGAATTGTGGTTTATTTTCATTTTCTCCTGTATGATTTTTTATCATTCTTTAAATTTTCTATGGTGAACATATTACTTTTTAAAAAAGAAAACAAAACAGAAGACAGAAAATGCCTTTGGTAACTCAAGTAAATAAGGGAAAAATGGAATTAAGGGATTTTTAGACTAATTTAGTTTTGGGGAACTTATTTAGAAGATGCAATTTTGTTTTTTTTTAAAGATTTTATTTATTTATTCATGAGAGACGCAGAGAAAGAGGCAGAGACATAGGCAGAGCGAGAAGCAGGCTTCCCCACAGGGAACCTGATGCAGGACTTGATCCCAGGATCCTTAGACCACAATCTGAGGCGAAGGCAGATGCTCAACCACTGAGCCATCCAGGCACCCCTAGAAGATGCAACTTTGGAAAGTTGGTAAGAGGGAGGGTGTCTAGAGCAATACTTAGAAATCAAATCAAAACAAACAGAAAAGCAGAAATTGATACCTAATAGGATAGAAAACCGTGCAGGACTAGAGGGAGAAGGGAAGTAACAAGGCAGAAGACTTGTTAGAGAGATAGAGAAGTGGGGAATCTTTCAGATGACTCCTGAATTGGAATTTAGTTATATTTCCTAGATCTTGGAAGGCACCAATTTGCTGATATTCCTATTTGCTGAGTCTTTCTAACATGTTTCTCATTTTAAATCCTTTAAAGGCAGAGGTGTCCAGAGTTTTGAATTTCACAGATCTATAAAATTTCAAAAAAAATTAGACTGGGTGGGATATCTACATAACATTGCCACCCTTTTATTTGTCAAGTCATTATGTTATAAATATCTATCATGAACATTATTTAACAAAAGGGAAACTATTTTAACACCAAAAGAGGTTGGTGGCGGGGAGTAGAAGAGAGGGACAACAATTTATATGTTAAAAATGGGATGTTTAGCTTTTCTTGTTTTGTATTTCACTGTGGTCTAGGGAAAACTTTGTTAATGGACTAAAATGAATGTGAAGACCAGTCAAGTACTTCAGAAACATTTATTTAAGGGGTAACTTGATGCAGCAACTTTTACCTGTAGAATTTAAAATGTACTACAAAGCCCAGGTTCTGCTCTAAAGTAGTGTCTTATGTGGTAGGACCCAGGAATAATGTTCTAATACATTTGAAGTTCTGATGTTCTAATATAGATAGATGTCCTAATATAACCTCCTAAATAAGAACAACTATTGATATTTTCTTGAAACTACTGATGCAAAAGTTAGGAAAGAACATGTGTCACTGGTTTCTGTCCTGTGTAACTCCTATGAACTGCTCTCTAATACAATTACTTTTACATTCTTGGTAGAAAATTGCTAACATGCCAGTTTTAACTAATGAGGGAACTGGATAAGCCTTCAAAAACACAAGTATTATCTGGTTTTAAAAACAAAGAGAAATACAGATTAAAAACTAGCTTATAGAAAAAAAAAAAACTAGCTTATAGGGTTTTGGCCAAAGAAGATTTTAGTAGAGACATTAGATTAATTCTATGCCAAAGAAAAATTGAAAAAAAGAAATTTTGTATAGAAGTTCACCAGTTGTTTTTCTGTTTTTTTTTTTTTTTAAGATTTTATTTATTTATTCACGAGAGACACAGAGAGAGAGGCAGAGACATAGGCAGAGGGAGAAGCAGGCTCCCTATGGGGAGCCCGATATAGGACTCGATCCAGGGACTCAGGGATTGCTCAACCACTGAGCCACCCAGGTGTCCCAATGTTCATCAGTGTTAAGAAAATGAGGGAGGAAAGAGATCTAACTAATTCAAAAGACATGAGCTATTTAAGTAATGCTAACTCTTAAGCTACAGAAGGTGATAGAAGAGGAACTCTCAAATTTGTCATTCATATCTTTTTATTTAGTTTGCTTTTTTTTTTGATTCCCTATTACTGTGTTCTCAATATCTTAAAATCTAGCTATTTCTCTTAATTCCTGATTTTCTTAATCATTTATAAAATATTCTAATTAAGATATTTTGTACAATTTTAAGACTAATAGAAAAGAATTAGAAAACACTTGTATCTAATCAAGCAAAGCCTCCTCCATATCTATTGAAAGAAAATTGATTACAGAACTGTGATGACAATAAGTTATAAATGGTTATGATATTTAAAGAACAAGAGCTTCCTGATGATCTTAGTCCTAGTTTAGATTTTCCTACAGAATAAAGTCATCACACTGTTTTATGGCTAATCCAGCTTTTTGGCCACATGGCAATTGTTTGAATTTGCTGCTCAGTTTAGTTGTTGATGACTATGCCAAAATGATTGACTGGGTCATCTAGGAGGAAGGATATATATATTTATATTTATATTTATATTTATATTTATATTTATATTTATATTTATATTTATACACACACACAACCAGAAATATGTCATGGAATATTTGAGCTAGATTCAGTGACAATGTATCCCATTCTTTAACTTTCTGATTATAATGAATTGTGGAAGTAATTAAAACAATCTTAGACACTTCCTACCCTTCACCATACATACAAATCCATTCTACTCAGCAAAAATCTGTTTGGTTGCTGTAAGCTTTGCTTTCCTGATTCAGGCTTATGGCCAGCTCGATAGCCTGTTTTCCTGCTGTATGGCATGTACGGACCACTCAAAGAAGAGACCTGAAAAGAGTCAAAAGAACTAGACTGAATGAGTTTCAGTCAATAAATTTTTGTTTACCCTAATACTAAACATTATATATGGCCCTCCTAAAAGGAGTGTAACCACCAATACTGCAAATAAGCTTTGTTGGTACATACTGAAGTCCTCTAAACTGTGGGAAATAATTTTCTTTTTTTACTGTTGACTTCTTTTGTAACACAAGGCTGTTTAACAAATGGCTTATCTTGCCTTTTGATGTGGAATATAAATTTTAAAGATGAAACTATACTAAGCTAGTAAGTTAAACTCTTTCCCACTGTCAAAGGGAGTCTCCTGATTTTCTTTACCTCTGAGTCACCTAGTTGACTGCCTTGGATATATACTACTATGAATTCTTGATCAGTGTATTTGTTCTTATATATCTACAGTAAAACCCTGCCTGTCTCCTCACTACTAAATCAGCCTTCCTGACCATATAAACAGATTTCTTCTATTAAGAATACCTTTGTGGAATTAAACCACTCTGTGGATTAATTCTCCTGATAAAGCTATGTGTGTGTGTGTGTGTGTGTGTGTGTATAATATGCCCACATAATATATATCAATATATATTTTTATATTTATATACATACACACTTAACACAGTATATGCCACCTTATCATCATTTAGTAGATGACAGCTATTATATATTATACAGTAATTATAAGCACACATGTTCACTATGGATGCTTAGCATCTCTTTTTTCTTGCCTGTTTGCTACTACTATCAACAGTTCTAGAGCATATCTTATACTAGATCATTCCTTCTTGAAAGAACCTATAGTTGACTTTTCACTTCTTATTTTATTTATAAACTTTTTTTAACCTATCTAAATATTCTCCATCCTTTACAACCCAATTAAAACAATCTTTTCTCTTCCAACTTGAGCACAATTTTGCGTGTGATATTCTCTTGAGGAAAGTGATAGGAGATTCAGACTTTATTAAGCTCCTCATTCCAAAAAGCAGAAGCATGGGAACAGAATAGTGTCCAGTACTGTGCAACAGTTCTTCTGTTTTCTTTTTTTTTTCCCTACTTCCCTGTTTTCTCTTCACCTGAACTTCTTATTTCCCTTTCCCCACTACTTAAAAAGCAGAGCAGAAAAGGAAGAGGATTTAAAATTGTTTTGTTTTATTTCATATCTATATCTGTTACCCAGGTGGAGAGGAAGTAGAACTGGACCAAGTTATAAATATTTCTCAAATTAAAAATTAGAAAAATATTTTTCCTTTATTCAGCTAATTTTTACTACCCGGTCTGATGATCTGTTAGTAGTTAATCTATTTTCTTTTCTAGTTTAGATTCTGGCATATTCATGAATAAATACTCCCGCCATTAAGCCTCACTGGAATTGTGCCTTCCGATTATTTTGTGGTTTATAACTCAAAATATTTTGACAACAATCTCAAAAGTTTACTTTCAGGCTGGAATGAGACAGTGTCTTTCAACAGTGTCATGGCAACAGATTTCCTCACTAAAAATTGATACTTAGAACTTCCTACCAGAAATATATTTACTGGGGATCCCCAGGTGGCTCAGCGGTTTAGCGCCTGCCTTCGGCTGGGGTGTGATCCTGGGGTCCCGGGATCGAGTCCCGCATTGGGCTCCCTGCATGGGGTCTGCTTCTTCCTCTGCCTATGTCTCTCTCTCTCT